GTGCCTGCGCTTGACCACACAAGCATGCACACTCCATAGGCAACTCCACATATGTTCCCCACACCCGCTCACAGCTGCTGACTGTACCACAGGCCCACGGGTACACACCCGTACACAAGGAAGGACTACACACACAGACGCTTCCAGCACCCTCTCCCCAAATGGCTTTAGAAGTTCCTTCTCTTTAAATCACGGTCATAAAAAAAAAAAAAAAATCACGTCACCATTGGAAATTTCTTAAGGGCTTTTATGACAAAAAAAAAAAAGATTAGACTGGATTAGAGTGATACCGTTGGTTGAACAAAAGGGTAGAGGTTAAGGGGATAAAGAAAGGTTTTCTCGAAATCCAACAGCCAGGACTGTCCAGCAGACAGACCAGGCAGAGACCGAAGGGCCTTCTTTGGCTCCTGATTAAGAATATAACCTTGAACCCAATGCTTCCCACTTCGTCAGAAGTGGCCGATGGGAATAGCATTTACCTAGGATTGTTTGAAGGGCGCGCGAAACCATCGTGGCCACCCTGGTGTGCGTACCTCATGTTTTACGCACGGTAGTTGATTCCTCTGGTCAGTCCAGGGTTTATTTCCACATCGAGACGTTCTTTTGGGAAGATGCAGGTCAGAATTACATTGTCTTGGGCCCCACAGCCAAAGCCCACTACGGGAGGGGCGTGAGCGGACCAGAGTCCGTATGGAAGCTGCCCCAGGGAGGACAGGGGAGAGCCAGGCCCGCAGGTGGGTGGCCTGGACCCAGGCGGGGCTTGTTGCCGCTCAGCCTCATGCCAATGCTGGGTGCCGCTGGCCTGAAGCAGGCCTGCTGAGGGTCTCCCAGTGCCCTTTCCTCTACTCCAGTGTGGTGGTGTGGTGGGCGCGGAGCTGCTTCCTGGCAGATGCTGGACTGGGCTTCCTGGACATTGAAATTCCCAAGCCTCCTCCGTGAAGCCTGCCTCTCTGCTTCTCCTTCTGTCTCCCGGCCCCTCCCTCCTTCCCTGCTGCTCCCCGCATGGGGACATCCTTCAGTATCCGTCCTGGCCCTCTACTGTCTCTCCTTCGGTGACCCTTTCTCTCACTGCTTCAGCCGTCAGACTTTAATGGAGGCATTAGTCACTGAGTGCCTCTTTTTCATATGTCCTATCCACTGTTCTCATTGTCTACCAGGATGAATTGGTTCATTCACTTGCTCAACAACATTTTCTGCATGTCCGCTGTAGGACGCTGGCACACAGTAGGTGCACAAAAGTAGCTGGACAGAGTGGGAGCTCAGTAGTGTCTGTTAGACATTGTCCATTTATTCTTCAGCGACTTCTTACTGCATGTCTGCCACCTGCCGCATCCTGGGCTAAGCCCTGGGCTGGAAATGGACAAATGGCACGAGGTCCCAACCCTCAGGGAACTGACATTCTATAGGAAGAGCTGGACATTCCGGAATTAGAGCAGCTGAGCAGAAGACAGAGGGATCTGTATGGTTGTTGCAGTCTGGGAGGGCTTCCTGGAGAAGCTGGTGCTTGACTGGACCTTGGAGGTCATCTGGAAAGACGGGACATTCCGGGTGGGTGGCCGGAGGTGGGTGCGAGGGGGACCAAGGAGGAGGGCACTGCAGAGAGAGCTGGGTCCTGATAGTACCCAGGCCTCAGGTCACCATGCCGATTCTCTAGCCAGCCCCAGCCCCAGGGTCGTCTACTCTGAGAGCAATCTGCTAGCTTTGCCCAAGCTCAGCACCGTCACCCAGCCCATCCCTGGCACCCGCCAGTCTCATACAGGCCCAATAAACTTCAGGGCCACCTGAGGAACAGCAGTGGGAACTATAGCTGGGATTGATTCAGGAGATGAAACATTCAGAGAGGTGAGCAGCTAGCTCCAAATGTCCACAGGGCTGTCTTGGGGAAGGTCCTGGAGGTTTCAAGCCAGACCCTACAGGAGGCAGACATGGGCTGGACCTAAGGAAAAATCGTCCAGCTGTCCTGGAGGCAGTAGCTCTCTGTCACCAAAGATGATGTAGGCTGGGAGGAGGCCGAAACAGATGCCCCCAAGTCTGGGACCTTTGGACTGAGAACCTGAGAGGGTCCTGACTTGTCGTTCTGCCCAGAACCTTGGAGGAATTCTTTATTGTCTAAATTAGGGCCCCAGCCTCCGGATTTAAAGCAAGATGAACAATAATCAAGATTGAGATTAGGAGGCTTTTTTTCCTCTTTGAGGACCAGAAGCACCAATTTGCTGGAACTCCTCCATCTCTCAGTCTTTCCATTTGCTTGGATCCAGACATGCCCCCAACCTTCCCCGCTCTCCTCCCATCCAAATCCTAAGGGGAGGTCCCCCGATGACTAAGATGGGAGGAATACTCTACCGGGCTGAAGCATGACACCACCCTGCCTGCTCTCCACACTCCAGATGGGACATGCCTGCTCCCATTTGCGGACGAGACTGTGACGTGAAATGAGTCATCTGAAGTCACGGCAGTCTGTGCTGGAGCTGGACCAAGAGCACATCTCCCAACTCCTGGTCTGGTGGTCTTTGCACACCCGGTGCTGTCTCCCCATCTCTCCCTGACTCGCTCAGTCTCAGTGGGAGGCTGGAGGTGGGGAAACTGGATTCTTACTTCTCACTGTGGCAGGCGGGACGTTCTGCCACCTCCCCACAGGATAAGACTAGAACTGGCTCAGCACCGAGGGGCTCCTCTCGGGGGGCCGCAATCTCACTCCCTCATCCTCAGGAGCTAGTCCTTCTGCCCCCAGGATGAGCAGAGCAGGGCTCCTTGATTATGTGAGGCCTCTGGATTCCTCTGCCCCTACCGCTTTTCCTAGGTCAAAGACCCAGGAGCTGAGAGGCCACACTCTCTGACCAATTAGCATCCATTCTCTGCACTCTCTCTGGCCTCAGTTTCCCCCTAGTTAAAACTAGGCGTTTGAGCTGGTCCTCACCAACCCTCGATTTTGATAACATGGAGCTCCCTCTGTGCAGCCCAGCTGCTATGGCTGTGTGGGGTGGTCCCAATCCCAGGCTGGATGCCAGAGGATGCTGTAAGGGTCCACAGGTCATGGGATGAGGCCTGGGGAGCAGGGCAAGGGCAGGAGGGGCGAGCACTGCCCCCTCCCAGTCTGGCCTCCAGGAAGTTGCATAACAGAAATGTTTATTTTTGTGAGGCTGAGTGGACTAACTGTCTATTTTAATAAAGCCAGGGGAGAAAATCTAAAAAAAAAAAAAAAAAAAAAAAAAACCCAAAACATAAAATTTATTTGTCTGCCAGGAAGATAAATATCTTTGCTGAAAGCTCTCGGCCCCAGTTGCCAGCTACAGTTTGCATAATGCTGTCATTGAAGCCCTAGCAGCTTGCGAGTGCCTGGGCTCACATGGGCATCGTGCGTGATGCGTGCGGGCTGGCCCGCCACCCCGGTGGCATCAGCACCGGTAGTGACCCCTCAGAAACATCCTCCTGAAGCTGCTTCCAGGCCCACTCACCTCCACTCTCTTTTCTTGCTGCCTTGGAGAGGGAGCTGAAAATGACAAAGGCAAAACGTCCCTCTCAGCTTCCCCCAGGACACACAGAAAGCCAGGGATGAGCGTGAACCTGACGTCTCGGCCCCCAGGACCCGGACGGAGTCAGGAGAGCTGGGCTAGAGGCATCATCCTCATACTGAATGCCTGCCGCTTGGACCTATTTGCAGAAGAAGAAACTGAGGGTCAGAGTGACCCTCATGCTTGCGATGTCAGACCTTGTGCGAGTGAAAGTTCTTGTCAGATGCTCCTCACAAGCCTCTTACTAATCGGTTACATTATCTAACTCCACAAGAGTCACAGACAAGAGAGTGTGGCTTGGAGTGGGGCTCACACCCCTGTCTCCACACCAGTCCCATGCCCTTCCCCCAGTGCCACTCAGGTGCTCTGGGGAGGGTCTGCCCACTTGGAGGACTTCTCCAGGGGCAGAGTCCTCTGCTGTTCACAAGTCCAGACCAGAACTTGGAATAATGACACTGGCAGAAACCCACATAGCCAGCTGAGTGCTTTACACGTCGGCCTCTTGAATCTCACAACTATGAGGACACCTGTCCTACAGCATCTTCATCTCCCATTTTTTAGGGAGGAACACTGAGGCACCAGGCGGCTGAGTGAGCTGTCTGAAGCACACAGCTGGAGAGTCGTGGCTGTGGGAGCCGCACCCTGGGGCCTGGCTCTAGAGTCCGTGCTCTAACCTCTGAGGCCAGCCTGTCTGCCCAGGGTGCTAACTGAGCCATGTAGACATGAACAAGCTACTCTCCCAACCCCTTCCCACCTGAGCCTCTGTCTCCTCATCTTTGACCTGCATGGGTTGACGTGTCCTTTCCAGCTCTGAGCTTCTAGGAACTGGCCGGCAAAGCCCCATTCTGTCAGACGGCAGTGGCTGTGGGCCTGGGCCTTGAGCTTTGTGTAAACCTACCAAGGCCCACAAGGAGGGGCAGGACACTGCTTGGCCAGTAGGTGAGACCAGTATAGAGGGCAAGGGGATGTGACTCCTCAGCACTGGATTCTTAGGGCAGAATTTCC